TGGGTGAGTATATATGTATATATATATATATATATATATATATATATATATATATATATATATATATATATATATATATATATATATATCATATCTTTTTTGCTCCTTTACTTGTGCTTTTTTACTGCAAGGCATATATCATATATTCATATAACCACATAATCCTATATCTATGTATTCAAATTTTATATATTTCTAATGTATCAGTTTTATCAGCATATCAGTTTTAATCACGTTAACCATGCTTTTTTAGGACAATCACTTTAAACCAACAACATCAAACACCCTTCTGAAAGGCATTTCAGACGAAAAGCTGTACTAAAAGCCTACAGACTCATTAAAAAGGAATAAATATACATAGGCTATTATGATAAGTATTTTTAATACATCATATGCTTGCAGGATAGCCTCCTTGCACTTAAATGATCTCACATACAGCAGCATTTACACGGAATATTCAGAAAATACGATGAAATCACCGTGGTACCAAACGCTGGCAGCACCAAAGCACTTTCCGACACTTTCCTATCAGTGCCAAGCACACACACACACACACACACACACACACACACACACTAAGCAGAGGAAGTGTTTAGCAGTGGGACTCATGCATAATGACAGGTAAACACGCGTCCACAGGTCACCAAATCTCACCAACAAAAGAATAAAGACAAGGCACAAACCGGCTCGACCGCTGCTCCGCTCCCGTTAATTTGTCCGGTCTCCGGATTTGTATGGGTTCAGCGCGCGACGGACGTTTCCGTGTTTCTCCATGTGGACGGAAACAAACGCAACGATTTACGCTCACATCTGATCGCATCAGCTCAGGCTCCTCCCACGGAAAACCCGCGGTTGAACAGTCGCACGCGCGTCAAACAGCCGCCGCACCGCGCACCGGAAAACGCGACGCAAACGCGACGCAACTGGAAGTGTCCCGTTAAAACCGAAACACTGCGCGAATCAGAAGTGCGGAGTGCCGTAAACTCACACTCTTGCGCAATTATAGACAGCCTGACCAAACACTTTTATATATTTCGTCATTTTAAGCCTGCTGCTTCTTCTGCCATTTAAGGTTAAACACAAAATATTGATTATACAGAGCCTCAAACAGCATGAGAACATTCACTCACAATCCTAAAGATTGCCAAATAATTAAGAAATAAATACATGTATAACGGATAGACGAATATTTAATATTAATATTACTTTTTAAATATTTTCATCCACCAACAGAACTAATAATAATAACAATAATAATAATAATAATAATAATAGGCCTAATAATAATAATAATAATAATAATAATAATAACAATACAACATAACACGTAATAAGAGCACAATATTTATTATAATATATAATTAATTACATATTATTAGTCTTATTAATAGTAGTAGTATAGTTCTATTGGAGGATCACAATTTAATATGTAATATTAATTTGAAATATTTGTGAATCCGTTATGCATTATTTAGTACTTGTTAAGTTTGTTTGATTGTTTTTATTATGGCGATATTTGTGAATTAGTGAATTTTGCTTTTTGTGGCTCTAAATAATGAATATTTTGAGGGGATTTTTAACATTTTGCATGTTATTATTTCCATTGGAGGATCTGTATATTAAATATTTGTGAATCTGTTATGAATGCATTTTGTTTGTTTGATTTTATTATTTATTATATGTATTTTATAATTTATTATTCAATCTTTAAGATCATGAGTAAATCTCCTTATGCTATTTGAGGCTCTGTATGATGAATATTTTGTGCTTTTTACATTTTTTAATTTAATATTAGCTGTGCTAGGATCTGTATATTAAATATTTGTGTATACATGTACATTATGTTGGGCAATCATTATTATATTATTATAATTATCACGATTATAACTGAATGATTGATTTGTTTTTAATTATTATTATAATATTACATTATAATACTATATAGTATATGTTTTATACATATAATATTATATTTACTTGAATAATTAATAAAAATTAATAAGGACATTATTATTATCATCATTAATAATATTACCAGTTTTTGATGTTTTGAGGATCTGTATAATTATTATTTTGTGTATCAGTAATATTCAAATAAATATTTATTTATTTAAGGGTGTATAATTGCTGTTTACAATTATTATACAAATTTATTTACTTGTTTGTCATTTTATCATCATAAATTTTATCACCCATTTTGCCATTTGTTCTTATTTACTTACTTTATATTTACTTACTTTTTAATTAATAATTCTAATTAATAATCTAATTATTATTAGTACTACTAATATAAAGTCTCTCTCTCTGTCTCGTTCTAGAGAGATATTCTATTCTATTCAATACAGTTCTGTTCTATACGGGTCTATTTTGTTCCATTCTTTGCTGCTCTGTTCTGTTCTATTCCATACTGCTCTTTGTTCTAACCTGTTCTACACTGTTCTAATCCATGCTGTTTTCTTTGTTCTAACCTGTTCTGTACAACACAATCTAACTGCAATTCGTAACTTTTTGATTTAGTGGCTAATTCGTATGAATTTAGTAGGATTTGCTCATCCCCCAGTGATGGTTGGGGTTAGGGGTGGGGTTAGGTGCCACGCCTCCTTTTTAAAATCTTATATTTTCGTTCAACTGAACTCATATAGATTTGTATAAATTAGCGTTTCCTCGTGAGATCAGACTGGTGCTATAGTGTTCTGTTTTATTCCATTCTGTTATGTTCTATTCTGTTCCACACTTTGCTGCTTTGTTCTGTTCTATTCCATACTTGTCTATTCTGTTTTGTTCTATTCCAGTGGTTCTCAAAAATTTGTCATTAAGTACCACCTTAGAAAAAAATTGTCTCTCCAAGTACCACCAAAATGAGCAGTATTGAAATACAGTAGCGCAGTAGGCCCAGTAAAGCAGCTACAACTCTGCACAGTAAAACAAACGTGGCAGATTACCTCAGAAATATAGGCTATATGTCATATATGGCACATTATATACATAATTTTTAATACATTTTGAAATATATGTAGCATGTACATGACATTTTTCATTCCTCCGCGTACCACTAGAAGGAAGCCCGCGTACCACTAGTGGTACACGTACCACAGTTTGAGAACCACTGTTCTATTCTATTCTGTTCAGTTCTACACTGTTCTATTCCATACTGTTCTATTCTGCTTTGTTCTGTTCCACACTGTTCTATTCCATTTTGTTCTATTCTGTTCCGTTTTAACCTGTTCCATACTGTTCTATTCCATACTTTTTTATTCTTTGTTCTAACCTGTTTTATACTGTTCTGTTCTATTCCATTATGTTCTGTTCTATTCCAAACTTTGCTTCCATGTTCTGTTCTATTCCATAATTGTCTATTCTGTTTTGTTCTATTTTATTCTCGTCAATACTGTTCTATTGTGTTCTTTTCTATTCTATACTGTTCTGTTCAGCTTTTTTCTAGCTATTCCATACTGTTCTATTCTATTCTATACTGTTCTATTCTGCTTTGTTCTAACCTGTTCTATTCCATACTGTTCTATTCTGTTTTGTATATTATGTTCTATTCCATACTGTTCTATTCTGTTTTGTATATTATGTTCTATACTGTTCTATTCCATACTGTTCTATTCTATACTGTTTAATCCATTCCATAATGTTCTGTTTTGTTCTATGCTTTTTCCATACTGTTCTATTTAGCTTTGTTCTAGCCTGTTCTGTTCCATACTGTTCTATCCCATACTGTTCTATTCGGTTCTGTTCTATTCTATTCCATACTGTTCAATTCTGTTCTGTTCTGTTATATTCTGTTCTGTTCTATTACATAATGCTCTGTTCTATTTTGTTCTGTTCTGTTTTGTTCTGTTCTATTTTGTTCTTTTCTGTTCTATTCTATTCCATACTGTTCTATTCTGTTCTGTTCTATTCCATACTGTTCTGTTCTATTTTGTACTATTGTGTTCTATTCTATACTGTTCTATTCTATACTATTTTAATCCATTCCATAATGTTCTGTTTTGTTCTATGCTTTTTCTATACTGTTCTATTCAGCTTCGTTCTAGCCTGTTCTGTTCCATACTGTTCTATTCTGTTCTGTTCTATTCCATACTGTTCTTTTCTATTCTGTTCTATTCTATACTGTTCTAATCCATTCCATAATGTTCTGTTTTGTTCTATGCTTTTCTGTACTGTTCTATTCAGCTTTGTTCTAGCCTGTTCTGTTCCATACTGTTCTATTCCATCCTGTTCTATTCTGTTCTGTATTATTTTGCTCTGTAATTTCTATTCTTTTCAGCTTTTTCTCTCCTTTATTCAACTATTCTGTATTTCATTCTCCTCTCTGCATTGTCTCATGTACATAAATAATACACAATATATGTAGTTGATGTTTTTATATGAGCATATTTATCGTGTTTGTGTGTGTGAGAGAGAGAGTTGCAATGGCGATTGCTCAAATGTAGTGCGCTCACGTGTGTGTTGTAGATGTAAATGAATGAGGGAGTCCTGCGGATACACTAGTTATAATGTTTGCGCGTCTGATTTACAGTTATGGATCTGCATTACATTTGTAAATCAAATGCAGAACTGTTTATTTTATCGATATTTACATCCACCTCCACCGCCCTGACTCATGCGTTTCCCTGTGACCGCTGGGAACTTTCATTAATAATGTTTATGTGTGTTTATGTGCTGGGGAATAAGCAGACTTTCTGCTTTTTGTGCTGCCACTTCACTTCCAATAGACACTACAGCAATTCCTGAGCTGATCAGACATATTATACTTACAATTTTGGGGTTTTGTTATTTGTGCTTATTGTCTTTGTTGATTTTATCTGCAATAGTCAGTGTATTTTTAATGCATTTACATATTTGTCATATTAATAGTATTAATACATATTAATCTCACTATTTGTGACTTTTTTTATTCCTTTTTAATTAGTTTTAGCATATTTTTAACATTAATTAGTTTAATTGTTTGTTGTTTTTATTTGTTTTGGGTATTCTGTGATTATTTTATGATTCTTTTAATCTTCTTGTTTATGTAAAGTGCTTTGGAATACCGCTGTGTGTGAAATGTGCTAAATAAATATATTTGTATTGCCTAACATTTATATTTAAATGAGTTGTAGTATATGCAGAGTATGCATTCTGTTCTCTTCTATTATATGAATATATTATTGTAATAATAATAATAATAATTATATATATATATATATATGCCTTTCTTCCAAATAATATGACATAATAAATAACACAATAATATATGACATAATAAAACAATATGAAACAAATATTAATATAACTATTTATATTAAAATTAGGGGCGGCGCAGTGGGTAGCACAATTGCCTCACAGCAAGAAGGTCACTGGTTCGAGCTTCAGCTGGGTCAGTTGGCATTTCTGTGTGGAGTTTGCATGTTCTTCCAGTGTTGGTGTGGGTTTCCTCTGGGTGCTCCGGTTTGTCCCACAGTCTAAACACATGCGCTATAGGGGAATTGGGTAGGCTAAATTTTCCATAGTGTATGTGTGAGACTGAGCGTGTATGGATGTTTCCCAGTGATGGGTTGCAGTTGGAATGGCATCCGCTCCATAAAACATATGATGGATAAGTTGGCGGTTTATTTTGCTGTGGCCAAAATAATTTTATGACTGTCTAAATATTGATAAAATAATATGGAACAAAAATGTAAACAAATAAATAATTATTAATAATCAAATGAAATAAAGAATAAATTAATTAAATAATGTTAATAAAATTAAATGAAATAAAGAATAAATAAAAATGACAAAATAATGTGAAAATTTAATATTAAATAAATAAATAAATGCATTTATGTTATTACAAGTACAATGTACAATGAATAAAAATAAATGGCATGATAAAACATTATAAAATAATTAATAATATTATTAAATTAATATTATTACAGACAATCAAATAAAATTATTCTAATAATAATAAAAATAAAACTATAAATAAATAAAATATAA